TAGCACGCAAAAACCAAGGTCAGACATCCAGGGAGAGAGGAACTCTCAACTTGCGCTCAAATGGTGTGCGGGTAATAAGACGGAAACCATGGGAGGCACTTCATTGAGGCTAGGCCGCGTAGGAGACCGACAACCTGCGTCTTAACAGGGCTAGGGTCCGATTAATGAGCTAGAGGTCGTCTGAAGGGCTAGGGTCCGATTAATTAGACACTGGAATAGACGGGAGAGTTATGCGAGGAAAGTAAACGGAAAAATCAATTCCCTTGAAAGAGTACACACAGTAGAACACATGGTCCAACCTCTTAAAGCTAGATGATGACACCAACATTTTTTCTATTTCTAAAATAGCCTAACCTTCATTGACAATTATAAGATTTTAAAATACACTAATGTATCATGATTATAAACAAATAACATAGCCACTATTTTCAATTCAAAGATATAATTCAATAATCAACAATAATCTATACAACTCATAAGAAACGTTTTTTCACTCAAAGAAACTTCGGGTACTTTTTACCTTTTTTTGTAAAAAGCGTCTTTTGCTTTAGTACCATTGATTGATTACACTGAGCAGTTGTCTAAAGTGACATTCTACATGAGGAAAACAAGTACACCACGTATCAAAAAAATATATATTTCTCCTAAGGAACTGAATGTGACTCTCATCTTGAAATCTAACCCTTAAAAGATATTAATTATAATTTTTTTAATATAACGATTAATACTCTTTAATTTGATAAATCAATAAACAACACTAATTAACATTTTTAATCAACTACTTAATTAGTTATATGTTAATTATAAGAGTATGAACTAATCAAAATTGTAAAGTCGAAAAAAGTAAAAGTAGGTATAAACTAATAGCGTTGACAAACACGACCAATTAGTGACATGGATTTATTTTACTTTCATTGGAGACAATAACTTTCTCAAAAGAAACGATATAACTTTAGTGTAGTAAAAAAAAATAGAATTTGATATGCCACTAACACAATATTATAGTACCATGAGAATATTCTAAAAAGAATGTGTTGGAGATCCCTCTAATAAACATTAGCCATTTCTAGACCAGTTCACCAAGACTGTGTTTGGACATTGAAAATGATAAGGAAATGACTACCAGACAAACATCTTTTGATTAATAACATCATATAGATCTATATGCATGTCCTTATTTAGGAATTATAAATAACTATAAACTATCTAATCGAGGGATCCATGCCCGCATGTCCTAAGAGAAAACATTATATGGATGCACTATGATACACTATTAATCTAGAGAAAAAGGGATAGTCAGAGATAAAAAGTGATTGTATAAATCATGATTACAACTCTTTAAATGGCTTGAAAGGAGGGTATTTATGGAAAACATGTGGGCTGAACTGTTGAATTTGGGTCTAACAAGCCCAATTACATAAAATGGCAAAGAAATGGCCTATAAATGATATAATTAAAATCCTTTATAATTGGTTTATATGAATAAGTTGAAGTGTACAATAATGTAAATAATATCTAGTGAGCGTATGTGGACCACTATCCAGACTCAATAGTCATGAGACCAGAGGCCGAAGTCTATACAATCTATCACAGTAGTTAATCATTCTTAACTGGAAAGGTAAACTCTTAAATTTGAAAGGTTCACCTTTTCTTTTAACCGCTCAATCAAATCCTTGTGGGCTTTTTATCAATCTGTTGTGAAAAGATTAATGTCATAAATCCTTAATTGAGTGTGGGGTAACTCAATTGGATTGCAGTAATTTCGGTCAAATCAAAGTGAAAGATTTAGTAGTTCACTCGGTTAGTGAGTCCAACTTAATATATGCCTAAAAATGTGTGTCAATGTAATATATTCAGAGCTGAAAATAGAAGATCAGAGATTCACCTTTCCTCTTCAGATTATATTCACACTCTGCTCCAATTGTTGTTATATTTGTTGTATCTCTTCCATGACACATGATCCCATATATTCTCCCAATAGTTTTCCATATATTCTACTCTCTGTATTAGCTAACACTCCTTTTATTCTTGTTGGAAAATAAAGAATGCATTTATTAAATTAATAGAACACTATTAGAAAAAATAAAGATATTATTTACATTATTATTATTATACGCTTCAGCTTATTCATATAATCCCATAATAATAGATTTTTAATTGTATCATGTATTAGCCCTTTCTTTGCCATTTTATGTTATTGGGCGTGTTTCGACAGTTCAGCCCACATATTTTCTTTAAAATTCCCCTTGCAAGCCATATAAAGAGTTGTAATCATGATTTATACAATCACTTTCTTTCTCCAGCTTCCTCTTTTCTCTAGATTAATAGAGTATCATAGTGCATCCATATAATGTTTTCTCTTATGACATGAGGGTATGGATCCCTTTAATAGAACATAGTTGGGTATGATGTATCACTTTGAAGTTTGTTAAGAATCTCATTTTTCGGCTAGACACTTTGTTGCTGCAAGTGTTGCAAATTTAGAGAGACATGTTCAATATTACCAAAGATTGACTGCTAAATTACAAAATTACTACATTTTCTTTATATTTTATGAAGTTTTGTTGTTGTTAAATGCCACTTCTAATTGTTTTATTTAGGAAAATAAGAAATACATATATTTAATATGCATGGTGATATATTTAAATTCTACTTCTAGTTTTTTAGGCAAATAAGAAATACATATATTTCCAAATGAGTGTGCAAATGTGAAAGAAACAAGGGATTGTTGATATCGATTCAGACTGGTTGTATGACGATTATTAAATCATGGAACATTAGAGCACTAACGATGAACATTTGTTTGAGGATAATGTAGACACAGCTGTTGAAGATAATGGGAGAATGACACGTTATGTGATTGAATAAGATGAATATTGATAGATTATTTATCTAGAGAGAAGGGAGAGCTAGAGAGATAAAGTGATGTGTATAAAATGATTTCCAACTCCCCCCCCCCCCCTTACATGGCTCCCATAGGGATATATACTCTCTCCATCCCATATTGAATTCTCGTCTTGACTTGACACATGAAATAAGAGCTTAGAGTGGAAATTATTTCACCAAAAGTTGTACACATAAAAAATAATTTGAATCAAATATTCTCTGACATCAATGGAAAATTGAGTTTATGTATGGATAAAAAGAGAAATAATGGAGTTTATCTTGAGATGGAGCAGCTAATTTTATTGAAATCTGATAAGATCTGTGCAGTTACATTAAAATGGGATAATTCTAAAAATAGAAGTAAAAAATGTTTTAATATTCCAAAATAGAAGTATTGTGTTTTTATATCTTTAATAGAAATAATTAGTGCGGAAATACTGGTATGTTTAATGTCGGTAATGCCAAAACATGACAATAATTATTTATATTTAATTATGAATAAGAAAATTATGATACTCCTATTTTAGAATTCAAAAACATTTTTGCTTCGATCTAGGATAATATCTTTATTAACATAAGTAATAAAGATACTATTGAAATGAAAATTATGTAAAAAAAAATATAATTAATAATTGTTATAGGATAGTCTCATTGTGATATAAGTGTAATAATTGATCGAATACAGTTATTTCTATAGTTTTTTTTGAAGAAGTTATTTCTATAGTTATTACACTTAAATGTCACAATTTTTTAGAAACTTATTGTATAAACTACTTTTATATAGTATACAATTGTATAGTTCACAATTGTATAAACTACTTTTATTATAGTTCTAAATATCTAATTATTTGAAATAATTAAAGTCCATAAAAATACATGTATTAAGATTGTATGCAATACTTTTTTGTGAAAAATAATTTAAAATAGCCTAAACTTTGAAGTGGTGTGAGGTAAACACCCAAACTTGCATATGTAATACGAGTATATATACCCGAACTTTACATAAAAACTATGTTAGCACCATTAATATGTATTTTTTATTTGAAAATGTAAACTTATGGAGTTAAGCACATGATTTAAAATACTTACATTTATAGAGGTGTAGTTAAAACGTCATAAATTTACATAGTGAAAGAAAAAAACATATGTACATGGTACTGATATTACTTTTTATATATAGTTCGAGATATAAATATATATTTTTTGAACGAAACTGACATCTTTTCATATCATAAGTAGTTCCAGGATCATTACATCAATCAAAGGAGAAACAAACCTGACACCAGCTAAACACCAATAATTATGACTGTAAACCCTATGGCCACACTTGGAGACGGTCACCCCTGAAAGAGTCACACGAATCGCTGACCATGTATCGGGCTTGACACAGCCATCCCTATTCCCACAGATCCAAACATACCAAATGACACAAAAAAGGCTAAAACCACAAACAAACTGGCAAACCTAGCATAGACAGTAACAAGAACACAAAGGACAAAATAGTAAAAATTCATCGGAGGAAGACAAAACATGATAAAAACTAGATAAGCAAAATATCTGTCTTGAACCCTAACACCTCGATCAATCTCTGGCGGTGGTTCAGGAGGAGGTCGGACCTTCACTCAATTGATGCACTCTCTCGCTGTTCCCCCGGTTTCGGATTCTGAATCACCAACATCTTCGATCAGTAGTGTATCCGCCGTAGAGCCCACATCCATGCCATCGAATTGAGCGGTCAAAATCTCCACGCCAGCCATGACCACCAATTTGCCCTTATGGGCTCGATCATCCCTACGCCCCTCTCCCGCTACATACTCCATCTTCGTTGAAAAAAAGATTATGCGCCGCACCAGGATGGCGAAAGCCAAGCCCTACACGATAAGAATCGCTAGGGAAAAGAATCAGTTCGAGGTATAAATATTAGATATAAAGTTTGGAATGCTTACTTCACATTTCCTCAAAATTTAGGATATTTAAATTATTTTTTCTTCAATTTTTGGAATTTTATTAAAATTGTACTTGGGATTTATTTTTATTTTTTCTAATGAAGCAAACGCACGTGAGAAAATTGTTGAGAAGCTGAAGTGCAAATCAATAAACTCCTAGGGTTATATCTGCAAACCAGTAACTTCCCTCTACCCGTTCATCCCGGAAGGCCGAAACCCTAGCCTGTATAAGTACCAATTTCCGAACCTCCGGTTGAAACTCCTCCTTCACATACGAAACTCTCTCGATTCAGTTTGCTCACAACTCACAAGTCACAACCCACCATTCCCACGTCGATTCAGTTGGCGGATGGCCGCATCGGCGAAGGCTCCGTTTTACGTAAGTTGGTACAGGGCTTTCTTGCCCGCCGATAATTGCAGGAAGGAAGTTCTCTACTACCTGAAACGCAGTGACGGACTATCAGATCTTGCAGTTGTCGGATCCGGAAAAGGAACCGGGCATATGTCGTATAACTACGCAATAAAGGACGTGTCTTTGATATCGGCGTCGTGTCCTCTGGCTGTTCCAAAGCTCCGGAAACGAAGAGAAGTCGTCGATTGGCTTAATTCTATCGTTTCAGGTGCATTTTTGTATACATCTATGAGTTGAATTATGTCATAGCCTCTATGTATGTGCCTCTTTAGCTTTGGTCTAATCAATTTAGGCCAAGCTTTTCTTTTTTCTTTATGGCGGTGGGTTTTTCTGAAACTCCCCACATCAATTGTGAATTCCAGTTGATTGGGAGAACATTTTCCGGATCTTGTCAATTTGTTTTCGTGTAGTGAATTGGAGACTTTATCATCTAACGCTCTCTCACTGTAATTGTATTTTGGGCGTGATTGAAAACATTCCTTCATGTTCGAAGCTTCGTAGAAGAGCGTTTTCAATTTCCACACTGGGATGTGTATAGGCAGTGAATCCACATAATTAATATATTTTTGTTTTTGAGTTTTTTAAGCTTTTGTGGATAATCTTTTTAAGTTTCATGCCCCAGGCTTTGATCTCTTTAATATTACTCCGTAATTTATTTAGCCTGCAGAACAGAGTCAATCCCAATTTACTTGTCTACAAGACTGCAAGCAACTTTTATTTAGACAGCCCATATTTTGACTTTTATTAATATAATAATGTTTCTAGGATACAAACAGTTTTATTCTAAATCCACTTATTTACAGGCATTTTAGTTTTGAAAATTTTGTTTTCTTTTTTCATCTGTATATAGCAAATCTGGATATTGATAAGTTTTCTTGTAGATTCTGTCATTCTGTGCAATCATACCTCATCAGGAATTCCTTATGTATATAGCAAAATGTTAAACTGAGGAATACGCATCATGATCATTGCAATCTTCACTTGAAGATATACATAGTATGTTATATAGCGGTTGTAAGGAAGGAACATTTCTTCTACGTATGAACACTTAATTGCTCTTTATTAGTTAATATCAAGCTTGACGACCTCAAAACCCGTGATCATTGTGCGACAGATTTTTTAATCGTGGTATTGAAATTTTGTCTCGTGTCTAAGCCAGTGTGGGGTTCGCAGATGATAATCTCACCCGAATGGTCTGGGCTGCAGGAACTCAAAAACTTGCTTGAGAGCTTCAAGATTCTTATGCCCTCAATCTAGGTCAAGTTCTATGATGACTTCCTATGGGCACAAAGTTACATTTATTGAAGCATTATTTTCTTTCCATTCTCTACATTACTTGACTAATCCCTTTTTAGGTTAAATTCTGTTCTTGTTATGTGCATTCAGAGAATATTGTTCTATGTTTTGTTTTTTTAAACTGATTTTCTGATTAACCTGTAATCTTTAAGGGTTTCCAATTCTGAATCTACTTGAAATAATGCCTACTTTCAGATATGCGTCATCCTCAAGATAGCAGAGCAGAATGTGGAACCAGCAAAAATATAGCTGCAGGCTTGAATGCCTTGAATACACTGGAGGTTAGTTAGTTCTTCATTTACTGGAAGGATATTGCATTTAGTTGCGTTATATTCTAAAGTGAGTTGTTTTTTAAAACTGTGTTAGGATGTTGAGTTGCAGAGATCTGGACTGCCTGTTAAAACATTTACTTGGATAGGGTCTCCACGGGCTGTTAAGAAGAACCGTTCTCACTATATATCATTTTGCAGGAATGGTGTTAGAATTTCTGTAAGTTTAAAAAAATTAAATATATGCATTGGGGGTACTGAATATCATCGTACTTTGTGAAATTATTAACTTACTCTTTTAAACATTTCCAGGTTCATGACTTTGTTTATGTGTTAGCTGAATTTGGCAAGCGGCTTGTTGCTTACCTGGATGACATGTATGAAGACAGCAGAGGAAACAGAATGGTTGTGGTACGCTGGTTTCACAAAATTGATGAAGTTGATATTCTTTTGCCTAATAATAACTATAATGACAGAGAGATTTTATTTTCTCTTTGTCTTCAAAACCTCAGTATTGAGTGCGTAGATGGACTGGCGACTGTCCTCAGTCCTCAGCATTATCAGAGTTTGGTTAAATTACCAAACCACACACATCCTGGACCATTTGTTTGCCATAGGCTGTTGGATAATGATGAGCTCAAATCCTTTGACATAACCAGCATTAAAGGCTACTGGAGACAAGAGCTTTTAAAACATATGTCTTTCTCATCACCCAAAAAAATGCACTCGGAGGAATTTAGCAGTGGCATTGTTGGAAACAGGCCTTACAAAAGGCTACGCATTTCAAAGGACTCTGTACTAAAGAAGTGGGCGGCTAAGTCTCCCCAAAAGCAATGTGATGGTAGTTCTCTAGCACCAATGGAAATAAACACTTCCAATGAAGCTTGTTTAGATGTCATGTTACCCAGGAAAGATACAGTCAGAGAGGAGCCACTCTTGAAATTTGACATTGGTTCCCAAGTTGAAATAATGTCTCAAGATAGTGGCCTTAGAGGGTGTTGGTTCAGAGGCGTAGTGATTAAGAAGCACAAGGACAAGGTGAAAGTGCAGTATAAAGATGTCAAAGATGCTGAAGATGAAGCTAAGAATCTTGAGGTGAGTGTCACCCACTGTTATGTTTTTCAATCCATACCTGCAAGTTCCTCTCTGATTTTGTTTACAACCTACAACTTCGATGTATACTGTATAGATTGTCATTTTTTCTTGTTTATCTCATTAACATTTTTAAACATTCTTTTCATTTTAATCTTACAGGAGTGGGTTTTGTCAACAAAGTTAGCCGCACCAGATAAATTTGGTCTCCGGATTAATGGGCGAACTATACTTAGACCTTCTCCTTTACCCCGTAAGGGCAGAGTTTCATGGGCATTTAATGTTGGTGCATCTGTTGATGCATGGTGGAATGAAGGGTGGTGGGAGGGCATTGTTGTCCAGAAAGAATGTGAAGACCGGTTGCATATATATTTCCCAGGTTGGTGTTTATTACCCATTTATAGGTGATTGCTGGAAAGCTATGACTCTGTAGTTGACAAGGCAACTTATAAAATCAGAATTACATGAAGTTGTTTTTCAATAAGATATTATATTGAAATTACGTAAATGAAGCCCATGATCGTATTTGAAAAGTATCTCGAGCTTATGAAAGAAGCATGGCATATAAACAAAATAGGACTAGGTATATCATAAGCTTCCTTAAATCTGCTCTGTAATAGAGACTAGCTATCCTGTGCCCTACCTTATGACATAGTACTCAATAGCAATTTCATGCCTGATAAAGTATTGTTTTTTTTCCATTTGAAACCTGCAGGGGAGAAACAAACACAGATCTTTAGCCACACTAACTTGAGGCATTCACAAGAATGGTTGGTCGATGGTTGGAAGCATCTAAAGGAAAATCCCGATCTAATCCCTGTGTTGTGTGGTGGTGGGCAAACAGTGACGGAGGCAGTAAAGGAGTCATTTGATGAAGTCACATGCACAGATGTTGATCCCTCAGGTTGTTGTGCTCCCGACAGACACGAGAAACCACCTAAAGTCAACATTGTGTTTGCTAAACAATATAATTTGGATGGGTTAGGAGGGGCTAGTGATCTATCTAAAGATAAACGACTTGGTCAGTTGCAGTGGAAGTCATTTAGGAAGAGAAGGTTATCCCGAAGCCCTCCTAACAAGGCACATTTTGGCTTCGACAAAAATCAGAATGTCAACTTGGAATCCAACAGCTTCTTTTCCTCATCAGTGAAGGCAGACCCTGGAAATTGTAAATATATGACCGACTCCCTCTTCAATTCATCTGTTGTCTCTCCATTGAACAGCCTTGTTATGTCTCGGTGAGGGAGATCTTATAATTTTGAGGCAGTTCCCTGGGTGGTTAGCTAGCTTCTTCTCTGGTGAGAGATTTTTGTTGTGGAAATGTATATAGTGAAGAAGCTTATAAGGCAGGGGTATTTAAGAAGTCCATTTAGGAATTTGGTTAGACAGTAGGTAACACTCTGGTGTGTATAAATTGTCCAGCGCCATTTATAACATTAGGAAGCAATTTTGATGATTCAGAAAGTCAGGCCCCCCCTCTCATAGTCTCATGTCCAGCTCTACATGTTCTGATGTTCATAGAGTTCACAGGCCCCTATACTAAAAAAGTAAACATGTAGGCGCATGCATTGAAAAACACCAATCAAGTCATTAACTGATTATTACAGTTGAACAGATGATCAGATGACTTCTTGAACTTAAAAATTTATACAACATGTGAATTGTATCAATTTTTAAATAATAGAAAAGTAAATTCATACAGATGACCCTTCCATTCTTGAGTCACATGTTTGGCAACTGTCCTTTAAGTAGGCATGGACCCGGGTCAGTTTGGGCTTGGGTCGGGCCTGGGCCCGGCCGGGCCTCGGTTCAGGAAAGGGGAGGCCCGGAACCGGCCCGGGTAACCCCCGGGTCCGGGTTGGGCCGGGCCGGGCCTTGGTTCATTTTTTTTTTGCCTTTTCCTAATTAACCCCTAACCACCCCCCTCGCCCCCAAACCATCCCAAACCATCTCAAATGACCCAAAATACCCAGGCCAACCCAAAAACTTAAAAAAAATTCAAAAGAAAAATAAAATGGCCCGGACCGGAACCCCAGCAGGTTGGGCCTACCTGAACCGGTCATTGACTGGGCCCCCGGGCCGGGCTGGAACAGTGCCGGTTCGGGTTGGTTTCGGGTCGGGCCACCTGGCCTGAGTTCATGCATACTTTTAAGTTCTATAAAACTTGGTCAAGTTTTTTTTTTTTCGTTCAAAAAAACTTTGTCATTTTTATTTAAAGTAAGGAATATGTTGTTTAAGTCAACTCTCTCTCCTCTGTATAAATTTCAATCACATACTTCCTCCGTCCCCGAAAGAAGTTCCCACTTTCCTTATTTGGATGTCCCTAATTTACGTTCCCATTTCCTTAAATGGAAAGTTATTTACGTCAAAACAGTGCAAAACAGTGTCAAACAGTGCCAAACAGTGTCAAAACAGTAAAATTTATCCCCTGGTAAGTTTACTTGCATAAAAGTGTGAAAATTAAATGAGGAACTTCTTTCGAGACGGAGGGAGTAATTTTTATTGTATTAATTTACGTGCCAGTCAACTTTGGTTTTATGAATAAATGTGAAAAAATGAAAGTTGAGAATCAAAAGTAATATTTGAAATATTAAAATTAAAGTAGAAAAACTCAATATGGAACCATTTCAATAAAAAAACCATAAAAATCGTGTAAACTTAAATAAAAAAAAGACTAGAACCTTGGGAACTGAATGAAGTGTTAATAGTTCCATTTTCGCTTTTTCCGCTCTTAAGAAATTTTCTAATTGTGTAAAATTAAATGTTTAGTTCATGCTACATACATCTGCTTTAGAAGAGTGTGGCTTCTGCCAGTGATTTTTCCTCTTTCAATGGCCCTTTTTTTTGTTATCAAGAAATAGAGTTTTAAAGTGTCGTAATTGTAGTATAATGAAAGTATTATGCTTTTTTCTATAGAAAGTAAGAAACTAACTAACCTGCGGAAAGTAATTGATCAATTTTCAGTGAAGTATACTTTGCCTTTAAGTATTGTGTACTTCATTTTCAATACTTTCACCTCAGTGCTGTATTATCAACATTCATTCTTGACTTCATGTTATCCTTCTTCACATATAAAGGATAAAGGTTCCATGTTAAGCTGTACAAATCATGTTTATTATGAACATGGAAACTAGTTGAGTTAATAAAATACAAAGGGGCAAAAAGCAAAATTTGAGAGAAAATGAACAGATTGATCGGAGTTAATAAATTAGTGGATTCAAGACAATAATTTTGTATTTCCATCATTTGCAATGGAGCCAAAGATTCACTACTTTTTGTCTTGAAAATATGATGAATAAAACAAAATGGCTCATTAAACTGTCTGCACTTATTTGTTATGAAGCTGCAGTTAGTCCATGCAATTTTAGACGCGATTTTTATTATTAGTTATCTGGAAACAGTCTCTCTGTGCTATAGTACAGGGGTACGACTGTACATCCGATCCCCCTTATCCGACCCCCCTTACCCCACCTTAGGTGCGAGCCTTTGCGGCACTGGGGTAATGATGATGATGAAGAATAGTTTTGTTTGTGTTTGATTTCAACTACACTTGATGCTTTAGTTTCAACAACGTCAATATGTACCTAGTCTTGTTATTGAAAAACGTGTAGTGTGAAGTCCTAATTGGTAATTGAAGAGTATTTTTGTTCTTCCGATAGTAACCTAAGATATATTTGTTCATCAATTAAAGTCACATGATCACCAATTACAAATATCCTGTTTATATCGACATCACAACTAAAATCAAAATACAGATTAGAGAAACCCGAATATCTCGTATGAAAGAGGATGGACAGCGTAAAGTTATAAAAGTCTCAAAATAGAAGGCTGCAATGTTGAAATGTTGCAGTTATTGGTATAGATAGAGTAAATAAATATTGATGTGTTAATATAATTTGTCTGTGAAAATGTGATACGAGTATTTATTATGTTCATCATTTTTAACAACGCTATTCCTCACTGGACCTGAATTTTTAGCCATTCATAGTATTGTTTTGTTACTTACTACGGAGTATTTACTAACACTCCCAAGTTCAATAACTCTAAAGATATAATATACCGTTTATACGTAGTCCAAAGATATAACTTTGGAGTATTTGTTATTGAGCTTCTTTCTTATAACACTCCCAAGTTCAATAACTTTTGAGATATATTATGTTATCGTATTTGCATTGGGTAAATGACACAATTTTAGCCACTATTGTTGTTCACAAGAGCTAGAAAAGTAACTTTCGATTTTTTGTAAGATAAATTTTGGGTGATTCTTAATTGTGAAATCAAACGGGGAAGAAATGATAGTAATGGTGAAGAAGAAAGAGTAAGAAAGTGAAAGAAGGAAATTGTAGAAGTTTGAAATCAGCCTTAGGGGAAAATAAATCAAATACTATAAAAAAAGGATCACACTCCATTCTTGAGGGCCTCGAGTAGGGCTGAGCACGGGTCGGGTTCGGGCGGGTCAGGTCTGCGTACCCTAAACCCGTTCGGGTTTTTTAAGTTAAATACTAGGCCCGACCCTTTGATATTTCAAATCGGGTTTTTCGGATATTTGTAAGTCGGATATTATCGGATATCGGATCGGGTTTCGGATATTTCGGTTATATTAAAAAAAAATTGGATAATTAAAGTGTTTGAATGCCACTTTGACAAAAATTCTACAAGCTAATGCACTAAACATTCAAATTACGCAAATAATTTAATACAAATTGCGTAAATAATTACACAAATAATTGAACACAAGTATTAATTTAACATATTCAAAGTACACACTACATAATTTAATATATTTCGAATATTTCGGTTATATTAAAACACATTATAATTAGATAATTAAAGTGTTGGAATGTCACTTTGACAAAAAATGTACACACTAGTGCACTACACATTCAAATTACAAAAATAATTTAACACAAATTGCATAAATAATTACACAAATAATTGAACACAAGTATTAATTTAACATATTCAAAGTACACACTAAATTATTTAATATATTTCGGATATTCGGGCGGGTCGGGTTGGGATTTTACAAACCCTACCCGCCACCCGATCTAGGCCCAATACTAATCGGATTTTTGGTTTCGGGTTTTTCGGGTCGGATATCCATTTCGGTTCGGATAATATCCGAAAAAAACTTCGGGTTTTGCTGGTCGGTTCGGGTTTTGCTCAGCCCTAGCCTCGAGAACCGAATGAAGAGTTACCTAGGAAGATGTAAGTTGAGTTTTGATACCAAAAGAGATTGTTGTTTCATTCCAAGTCATTGCTTGGAGTTGAACATGAGATCTCTCTCATGTGACACACTCTTTCTACTATGTGAACTACGTCCCATATAAATCAAATATCATAAACTTTACTTTAGTGTGAGCTTCTCACCATAGACTAGTGACTTGTCTAGTTAAAAAAAAAATACCGCCCACTTCATACCATTCAATATGAAAACTTTTGATACTCGAATATTACTCTGTTTAGGCATAGTGATACTTTATTAAAAAAAAAGGCATAGTGTTACTCCATTCATTATTTTTAATATTTTTATTACATACAATAACAATTAAGGAGAGTGGCGAGGAAATTTTAGGGAGAGAAATTTCCCATATAAATGATTATAGTCAACTCAAAGCAACGACCATTTCCATTTTCCACATATGGGTGGGTGGTGTATGCGTGTCTCCAAAATCACCTAATCTCTCAAATCGAATATATTCGTCGTTCAATTAATTCCCAAAACAACTAAAATTCAATAATCCACTTGACATAATAATTACAGACGACTCTTGCTTTGTACTCATCACACAAGCTACCCAACAAGGGGATACCGAATACGAAGTATAATACTTTATTAGAATGAATATAATACTGAAAGAAAGGGTTAATCCTTTTTTTTTAATATAATAGGACAAACCATAAGCATCATATATCACTGTCTCAATTAACTCTCAGAATTGAAGCCATAAACCTTTTTGCAAGGGAAATGGAAGCCATTGATGATCTTTGCATGAAGAAAATGCCCATCCAAAGAGTCACCCTTGCATCCATTGAATCATTGGCCATACCACTTGTAATTAACTTCTTCTTTCTCAATATAATGCATCATTTTCCTCTCTTCTCATCTATATTGTAATTATATTTTGATCAAAAAGCATATATGGGTATATTAATATAGTTTTAAATAATGTTTCTTTCTTTGCAATTGGAGGGATATGATTAATTGATGATTGTGTATATATATTAGGTGCAGGAAGTGGTGTTCTTGGCGGATTACCGGAGCGCTAGGTGCCGGCGGAGGGTCGCGGCGGTTATGTCCAAAATGAACGGTATGTCCCTGACGATCTCTTTTTTGCTTTTACCGGCTGGGATGTTGACCGGCCGGCCGACGTGTATGACTGAACGAAAGGACTCCCCACCCACAGACCCACTAATCCACTATCATGCAGGTGGATTGTGGAAATTTTACTCTGTATTTATTTGACTTTGTAACACATTTAGTTGAAAAAATGCTACGTGTTAAAATTTTAATTTATTGACATGGTCTATTAAATTCCGTTTTAATTATTGATGTATTAATATTTTTTTTTTCTAAAAAATATAATTAAACTTGGCACTTGTAAATTTCCAAAATCCAATTTTTTAAATTTTTACTAATAGAGAATTATTCGTATATATATTAATGGTCAAAGATGTGCAACGACGAATGTAATAAATGGCATGTTGCATTTATTTAACATTCGAGGTAGTATGTTTTAATCCATAGTATGTACGTAGAAATACCAAGTATGTTACGTAGTACTAGAAGGTAAATTATGTCATTGTTTCAACCTTCAAATGCTTTTTAGATTTTTTTTCCTTCTTGAATTGGAGTATTTCGGTATACTTATATGTTATGTTAAATGTCCATTTATCAAACTATCTATAATTTTCCATATGGCAATACTTTCATCATTGGTAACTTGCGTTTGGTTAGTATTTGTTTGATAATTGGCTAAGGCGGGGTCCGCCTTTGACGCGTTTTTATCAATAATGAAAGCTCACATGTCATTATGTTGGCATATCTTTTACGCGTTGTCATTATTTTTCACTTCCTTAAACTCAAGCTCAAATTGAGGTTTACTTTTAGTTTTAACTAGGTTTTATTTGAGCTTGAATAAGATGCTAGAACATTGAGCTAGAATTCGAGCTGAAAAAATTATACTTTCAAAATTGTTAATATATAGTACATTTATACACAAATAAACAATACTCCTTATCTAATATTTGTAGCTAATCGTTGTCATTTTTAGTTCATCTTCCTTCGTTGATATTTTAATTTTACTCTTTATTTTACTATCAATTAAATTTTAAAATATATTTAGTATACATAAATAAACATCAATAAAAAAAGTAATATGGGTGTATATAAAATTTTATTTATTTATTTATTTATTTATTTATTTACTTATTTAGTTATTATATATATATAGTTAGTTAGTAAGTTAGTTAGTTATTATGTTATGACTCGCCAGACGGCTCACAAGATCAAAGGATTTGAGCTCGGCTCATTTGCTTAACGAGTCGGCTCGGGTTCATCTCGAGTTCAAATTTGACGGGACTTGAGTCGAGATTTAACTGAGCAGCTCACGAGTAGCTGAAGTGCGGCTTGACTCGTTTGTACCCCTACTCAAGTTAAGGCTTATTGAGTACTAAAAATGAGAAAGTGTACCAAATTTTAAAATATGTCCCAAAGTTGAAAGTGTAGCAAACATATATAAGAATATATATGGAGGAAGTAATAATTAAGATTAATGGAAATTATAATTAAAATCACGAGAAACAATAATTACATTGCCTATTAATAAAGAATAATAATAGTAGTGACAACATCGTGATAATAATAAAATTATAAAAACTACATAGGTAATATTTTGATGAAATGCCATAGACAATCTATACATAGTATATATGGTGTACGTGATCTACACATTTTTTTTACCGATTGGAGATATCGTTGTGTTTAATTTGACCTTAAGTATAGTCTTTTTACGATCTCGATCGGATCGTTAGAACCTTTCTTATGTGGCCAGATGTGATTTTATTAAAATAAAATAAGTAATAGGAAAAATCATTAAACTGATTTTCTTAAAACAATCATTTGGAGAGGAGAAAAGGAATAAAATGCTATGTTTGTAATAAACTAATATTCTACCCGTGCGATGCATGTGAGAATAGAACTTACATATATGGAGAAATTTAATAATATAAACACACACACATGTCATATAATTTAATTTGCAGACAATTTAATTTTTTAAGTTTCCATAAAATATACCTCGTGTGTGATAAATATCTGTATATACTTTTCAAATCACTTTTTGTACACAAACGTCACAACTGCATGGTTGATCATCCCTATTATTTAAACTTTAGATTTTCAAAATTTTAATCGCGGCATATAACTATTCATATCACAAAAATGGATTTTGAATAACAAACTAGTGTAGATCCCTTATTTAAGGTCTTAATGACAAATAAGATGTCAATGATTTTGTAATGTAATAATTTTACATAAATAATCACCATGGGATAATAAACATTTAAACATCAAAATTATATTGTTTGAATGTTCTAAACATCTTAGAAGTTAGCTGAAAGCATGATATCCACAAAGTAAATGTACTTAAACTCAAAATAAATCTTAGCCACAGTACTCATTTGAGTTTCTTTTTTCCAGTGCAAAGAGTTATTTAAAAACTAGTACAAAGATTCTTTATTTATGAACACTCCACTTAGCGTATTTTTTTATTTAGCCAGCCTCTTTGTTTTTTGCTCTCTTATTCTTCTATTAGTTGTTTGTCATATTCCAATTAAAGGTTCGCATTATAAAATAGTTTATATGAAGTAAAGGTGGTATTGGTATTAACCAAAAAGTTGTAACTGTAAAAAGAAAATCAAAGTTTATTTTTAATAGGTCCCAACCACACACCAGAAAAATTCGAATGTAAACACTACTAATCTCATTTCAAGAGATTGTAAGAAAAACAATATCAACTTTGTTTTAAGGAAACAATATCAACTTATTAATAATTTAGTGGTAATGAATCAATAATAATACACAATAATAATAACATTAGATTGTAATTAACTTAAGTGTGAGGACTAATATTCTAAACTTATCACTTTTTAAAAAGTGTAGATAAGTACTATAAGGTCTGCTCGACTCAATTTGGATTGATTTTATTTGTGATTTTCTGTTAGCATATAAATTAATTATCTATGTGTAGGATTTGTTAATTAGGCATATGAAGTCATTGTAGAGTCAATGATTACGTTTACTTTTATTTCCTGTCGTGTATACATATTGTATAGTCAAAGAATTCATTTAAAGACAGTGTTATTATGTTATCATAACACTTGAATTTAGGCACTACTTGTCTATTTTTTTATAGAACATTGGAAGTATCTTTGAGACATGTGATACAATTACTTCAATTATTTGCTTTGATAATGATATACAATGATAATTTATCTTTTGTGTCATTTAATCGTCATTTGGGGTTGGACATATTATTTGAACCTGTATTATATATATATATATATATATATATATATATATATATAGAGGAATGTTCATGTCAGGCCAGCCTGACGGGCTGCTCCGTCCGGCCGAGCCCGTTTGGGCACCTTCCCGGTGGAATTTTTTGATGAAATTTTTTGAGCATGTTCCTAATCAAGTCTAGTTTGTCCATACCAAATTTCAGATCAAAATTCGATCGGGAAGGCATTCAAATCATTTTTTGAAGTTGACTGCAGTTTTATATGTATATTTTGACGCAGTCAACTTCAAAAACTGATTTGAATGCCTTCCCGATCGAATTTTGAGCTGAAATTTGGTATGGACAAACTAGACTTGATGAGGAACATGCTCAAAAACTTTCATCAAAAAATTCCACCGGGAAGGTGCCGAAACGGGCTCGGCCAGACGGAGCAGCCCGTCAGGCCGGCCTGACATGAACATTCCTCTCTCTCTCTCTCTCTCTCTCTCTATATATATATATATATATATATATATATATATATATATATTGTAACCATTTTAATGATTTTAATTATTTGTAGGAGAAACCGATTCAGTGATGATCAGTGTGCTGGAAAAGAAGATTAGTATAACTTGCAAAATTCCAAGACCAAAAAACACTTCGGGCCAACACTCATCAATTTCCATCTTGTCCAACACTCTTAACAAATTTACTTCCATTCTCATCACTCTTTTTCTCCCTTCCCATATGTAACTCATGATGAATCCATTCCCCAAAATCCAACTTGCCGCACTTCACATTTTTCAATAGCTAGTGCCCTTCGAACAAAATAAATCAAACTAACTTTGTTGTGTTTCTTAGTCACTCCAAATTTACCAAAATTATTAGTTTGTTCTTTTGTTTCTTACGAAGTTGTAAATATCCTTTATTTGTCAAGATGGTGCCTTGATATTTAAAACATAGTAGTTTGAGGAGACTAATACAATTATGATGCCTTGAGTGTTCACAAATTTATTTCTATGAACAATATTATTTAAACTTCAAATTTACTCCCTATTTAGATTAAAATGACTTTTCGTTTAAAATGAGAGACACTACCGTATAGGACAATTGTTACGTGAGAACAAAGCATGTGGTATACATATATATGAATGATAGAAAAGCATGTTCCTCGATTCAAAGAAAAACGCCTTTTAAACCACTATGCATTGCTATGATTTTTTTGTCACTCTTGTTTTCTAAGTTATGCAATCAAAATCAATTTGAAATGGGAAAACTGTCAAATAGGTCCTCGAACTTTCATAAAAAAGTCAATTAAGTCCTTCTATGGGAAACTCTGTCTGGCCGTCGCGATTTGGGGCGGTTCCTGGTGGAATTTTTTGATGAAATTTTTTGAGCATCTTATTCATCAAGTCTAGTTTACTCATACCAAATTTCAGTTAAAAATTCAATTGCGAACGCATTCAAATTAATTCGAGAACGCAAAAATGCGCAGTTATCTTCAAGAATTAATTTGAATGTGTTCCATGTTGAATTTTTAGCTCAAATTTGGTATGAGTAAACTAGACTTGATCAGTAAGATGCTCAAAAAATTTCACCAAAAAATTCCATTGGGAACTGCCCCAAATCGCGACGGCCAGACAGAATCTCTTATAGAAGGACTTAATTGACTTTTTTATGAAAGTTCGAGGACCTATTTGACAGTTTTCCCATTTGAAATTGTTAAATAAGTCGGTATAGTGTTTTATCTTGTGCTTTTGGACATTTCCAATGTTAATTTCTAAATATGAAGGTAAATCATGTAATTTCCACAACAAAATGGTTAATCTTGTGTAAAAAGTCACTATTTTTAAGTACAATGAAACAACTAAATGATCATAGGGACAAAAAGTCTAGATTTGTATACTTGTTGGGTTAATGGCCCAACACATGGGCCAACCCATTCACCTCGACCAGACGAATGTCTTCCTGGGTGGGGCAGCCCACTCGGATGAATGTCCATACAAGACAAGTGGACCGAATCCATAGACAAACGCAACGGCGACGAACGTCGCCTCCAGAAGCCACTAACAATTGGGGCCAGTCCAACCCATGCGACAAATCCTCTAAGGACCATGATACGAACGACCCATTACCCTTTGCATTTTCCAACATCACCAAGGGCAGTCCCCACTAACCAGACTGGACGAACGTCCCCACAAACTAGGCGGGAAACCCTGATTCTGGCGGGAAGCGCATTTAATGCCGGAGATTTGGTGGTTGGGACATCAGCCACACACAGGCCTCCACGTCAGCATAGCCAGCTGCCCATTGGTAGTATAAATAGCAGCATTTACTTCATTGTAAGGGGTTGACAACTTACTATTCTTAGCACTCTAGCTTATAGCATTCTTACTCGCAGCTCTTCTACTGCCCTGCATGTAAGACGAACGGCCGACGAGCCTTAGCAAAAGTATTGTATTAGGGAGTTATTAACTGATTAATCCATTACTCGCTACTTACTGTCTCTTAATCCATCTTGCTTGTTAGTTGGCCTAGTTCACTCACATACACACTCCACTCGAAACTCTTGGGCTTACGTGTTGGACCCGAGGGTTGAAGGAATAAACCTTGTTAGGTCCCTGTTTTCTAGTCTATAAAATGTATGTATGGAAGATAGATCTATGATTTGAAGCTTTCCATTGATGTGAAGGTTTTACAGAATGATATGAATGTCTAAGCCTGAAAACCTTACACGAGAATAGGCACTGCGGCACAGAGAATGTATTGAAAAGCTTAACCTAGCCTTTCCCTTAAGGCATATATATAGCCCGACGGGAAAGGTAGGTTTTACAATCATTTGGGCTCCTTTTTCTAGGAGGCCCATACCTAAAAAGGTATAAAACCTTTTATTACAAATTGCCTTAAAAGGCCTATTCATTATTCTAGCTAATCTATAAAATTAAGATGCTAAATATAAATAGCTAAGAAACATTGATCACAATATAATGAAAATATCTCTAACAATCTCCCCCTTTGTGATCAGATGTTCTTGCTTCTTCTTTTCTTCACTTCTGAGCTTTAAAATAATGCTTTCTAAGATTGAGTGCATGCTCGTAATTTCTGAGAGATCTTCTTCTGTCAAGTTGTTTCTCGATGGCTTTCAACACTTTGTCAATTCTGGTTGCTTCTGTTAGTTCGTCATCTGTGGCATCTGCATACTTCTGTTGTTTTTCTTCAAATTCTTTTCTGATAGGTTGCAGTTTTTCCTTAATGATCTTCAGCGTTCCGTCACAGTACTTGTTGATTTCTTCTGCCACCAACAAACGCCTCTCACCTTTGTAGTTCAGGTAGATGATAGCTAACGGACGATCAAAAATGTAATAAGCTGGGAAGTTCTCAAGCTCTGGCCCGTAAAGCTTTGGTCTTGAGAGGTTTGTCTTTGGCAGATTTGTTTCTAGGGCCATCTGAAGATCATGGGAAGCAAAGAATTTGGCTTGTCTGATCATGAAGCGCTTGAGTGCCTTGAATCCCTCTTGTGTAGATTTGTCCCAGGTGACTGGAATTTCCTGGAAGGCTAGATACATATGATAGATGTCATCCATCTTTAACATATAAAGGTCATTTTCCTTGCAGGTAAATTCCGTCCCGTCGAAGCGTTGCAGGCGGTAAACAGAGAGTGGGATGTCTTGATAATTTATTTCGGCTACATTTAGTATACTCCATACTGGGTCTTTTGCGGTTTGCAGTTCATGTTGCCATACTTCTCTCTGTTTCCCCATGTAATGATGACTAAGCAGAAACAATTGACCACTCTTGTTCTTTCCTTTCAGATGATTGAGTCCACAGATTTTCAATTCGTCCAATTCCTTGACTTCGTCATCTTTCCGCCATATACGCTTTCTGATTTCCTCTTGGAAAGGAGCATTGATGTTAATATTCTCCCAAGGCTTTTCACTCCTGGGCATTCGAGCTGCTGTTTGTCTTATGATGGATTCCAGCTCCTTGGGAGGTTCCTGATAGTTTTCTCCTTCCTTAAGTTCATCATCATTAAGCAGTATTACATCAGCAGCACATTTAGCTAGGAGCTCTCTGAGATAGGCTCTTTGCTGTATTTCATCCACATTCGTCCATAGCCGAGACCACTTGTTGTGAACAAGAATTTCTTCAAGTTCGTCATGCATTCGATCATCAGGTTGGCTAGAGGGAGCTTGCTGCTGTTGTGGCGCTCTGTCAATAGTAACACCGGGATCACTTGGATTACCCGTTATCATCAGATTAGAACTAGGTTCTTTCTGATGGCCTGAGTAGAAAGGTGTACTCGAAGTAGCAACCTCAGGACTTCCACTCCATCCTTGGTCTACATCTATGAAAGATGAGCCTAGGAGTGTTGTTTCTAGCTCGACCAGGCTAGATGTGGGTGAGTTGGCTGTTTGGCTTTTATGATGAGTGGATGGTGGGGGCTGATTGTTCGAGGATTCAGGTTGGTTGGATTGCGTAGAGGGTTGGCTGGTTGACGCATCACGCTCAAGTGTCCTTTGTCTCTTGTTCTCCCCCTCATGAGGATCCGAGTCATCGGGGTCCTCATGCGAACGTTTGTGACCGAGGAGACTATCACGGCATGAGCTGTCAGGCTTAAGGATCCGAAGAAGGTCTTTTTGTTTCCGGGTTAGGTTGCCTTCTTCGGTGGCTAGTAGTTGATCTAGCATAAGGTTCTCGAGTACCTCGAACGGTAAAGTTTTAGGGTCAGGAAAAGGTGTGGTCGAAGTAGGGGAGGACACTAGTTCTGTATCCTGGGTTCCCCTTGAAGCAGTAGGTGAGTGGGGTAGGGTTGTGGATGGTTCAGAGGTTTGTTGGGTAGGTATGATAGGAAGTGGTTGGGTTTCTTGGGTATGTGAGGATGATGGTTGGGGTTGGATGATGTCATTTAGCAACGCCGGGGTGTTCCTGAATTCCTGTGCCCGAGCGGTTATTGCTTCGTGCACCCATGGTTTAATGGTGGAATCCAAGAAACGCTGCAAAATGACAGAAAGGTCGGTGGGGTCAGGGTGTCCGGTTACAGGGGTAGTAACCGTTGTCACAGCATCAGTAAAGATTACCGATGTGTGGCCTGCAGATAATGATGGAGATATCTGTTGAGCAGCAGGACTTCCGATCATCATTGACGTATCTCCGATCGTTGAGGACAAGTAAAGTGCACCTGTCGTGTGCGGTGGTGTGAGCAGTGTATGTGTCCTAGAAAATGTGGAAAATGTTGGGATGGTGGAAACTAGACTCAATGTGCTAGAAGGAGGGGTAGTGGTCTGGGGTGGAAGACCACAAAGTAAATCCTCAGCTGCTTCGTAAGGAGGCAGCGAGGTGGGTAAAAGATCCCCTATATGTGAAACTACTACCTGTTGGGAGGCAGCAGAGTGGCTAGGTGAGGCTTGTGCATGCGCAGTTGGGCTAGATGCTGCGTCTTCTACTCGGAAACTGAAAATATCAGTTTCTGCACCTATGGGGTTAGCCCGGTTTATTGTGTCTAGGTCAGAGCAGCTGTCGTACAAAGCTAACTCTTCCGCCAGGTTGCTCGCGGTTTGCACTCTTTGCACAGGAGTAGATGATGAGGCAAGATCATGACGCACCTTGGAGCGAGTCTCACTGATGATATTTCCTTGAGTGTCCTTGATTTGGTGAGACTGCTCTTGTGTTGTAGCCCGAGAAAGCCTGATAACGAGTCGTCCTTTCTTAGCGCGGGCTTTCTCGACTTTCTTGCCCTTTGCATTGGCGTTGTCGTCGTCCTCATCATCATCATCGTTGTCGTCCTCAGCCTTGCTCCCAGAGCCCTCATCGTCAGCGTCTTGTGTTGTGGCTACGCTTGGCGAATCACGGGTAAACTCCTCAGCACGGGTGTGGCCCTCAGCAGACATAGTCTGATCATCATGGGGCCGGCTTGCCACTGGTCTCTGTGGCCGGGTTGAACTCTCAGGACCCTCACTTACTCTCGGCTGACTCCCCGGGGTAGGCTCAGGGGGGTTTATCTGAGCCATAGGGAGTATTATGTTGTTCTCCTCGCTGTAGCGTATGACATGTGGATCATTTCGACCGGCTAGCAGGAGGAGAGGGACAGGAATAGGTAATGGTACCAGTGAGCGTACCTCTGGCATTCTCTTCAAGTATTGGAGGGCTGGAGTGCTGACATTCTCAGATGATTTGCGCCTTTGAATTGTAGGAATTGTTCTGTAGAAGTGTCGCACCAGCAGGGAGAACCATCTCATGTATGGTAGATGTTTGATCAGATTAGTGTCGAATTTCCTTCTCCTCATCTCCAAGAACTCACTCCAAATTAGAGCGGTGTAGTCATAATTCTTCATGAAGGCGATCCCATGGAAGATATACACAAGGTAAGCACTGCACTTGTCGAATCCAGTGTGCTTGGACGTGCAGCACTTATTCAGAGTAGCCATCAGTGTCCTCCATGGGCGTGGCAAGCGGGCCGTCTTGATTTCTGACATCACGTGGAGAGGCTGTGCGTGGCCAAGAGTGATCATGTCGGCGATTACTTGTGCCTCTGGGACCAACGCGTCATAATGTTCCTCCTCTGGGATCTGTAGCACTTGTTGGACTAGCTCCTTCGTGATTGTGACTCTGGTGTTGCAGATTGTGGCAGCTAGGACGTCATCAATTTGTCTGCCATTCGCATCTACGTCCTTGTCAAGTGTACCCCAGAATTGTTGGAGATACACCTGAGGAACTTCAGCGTTCTTGCTCAGTGCCTTCCACAGCTTGTGGCCTTTCAGAATAGAGACCACTACGTCGTCTTGACAAGAGAAGACTTCTGGGTCCAGTTGTGAGTTGTTCTCTTTGATCGGGATCCAGTGTTCCCTAGCATAGATCATGTTGATTGGAGTGTTGGCAGCCATTTCAATCTGAAAATGATAAACAGATTAGAGCATTTGATAGAAAATGGCTAAGTCCACAACTCGTTTCTCACTTGGGCCCTTTAATTAATTTTTTTTTTTGTAAAAGAGAAGTGGGGCCCAATTAAAAGGTTATTGCACTTGGTCTGATTTGGGCGTGGACTTAATTATGTTTTGGCCCAATTAAAATTTTGCTAAGGGTTGGTTCTGGGCTGAGACTTTTCGATTTCGCACATGGGCTATAGCGCACCCCATAAGGATCGCGCAATCAGTACAGATTGCGCAGCAGGAACATATTGCGCAAGGGGGTTTCGCGCAAGCCCAAGAAGATCGCGCAGGTCACCTAATCGCGCAGGGGTGTTGGATTGCGCATGTCCCTTAGATCGCGCAATCATCCGAGATCGCGCAGGGATAAGGATCGCGCAAGGGGTCGAGGATAGCGCAAGCGTAGAGATTGCGCAAAGTATTCGATCGCGTAAGTGCCCCCATATCGCGCAAGGCTAGTAGATCTAGCAAAGCTCCCCGTTTCGCGCAACTACCCAAATCGCGCGGCCTGGGCGAATCGCGCAGAGGGAAGTTTTCGCGCAAGGATTAGATCGCGCAACCCCTCTGATCGCGCAGGCCCTGTGTTTCACGCAATCCAGCTGTTCATCGTCTTCCTTGAATAAGTAACCTGTTAAGCCCAAGCAAGATCGCGCAACCCTGATTTTGCGCTAGTCAGAAATCGCGCAAAATGATTCGCGAGAGGGAACCTGTTCGTCGTTTTCACCAGTGGACATGTTAAAGCATTTTCGAATGAAGAAAAATGAAGAGATTTTACCCTGTGAAGCTTGAGGGGATGAGATGGAAGATGCAAATGGTGATTTGAGCTCAGGGAGTTCAATCGTTTCGCGCAACAGAGTAGTATGGAAAGGGGGTTGCGCGTTTGTTAAGTTTAAATAGGCCAGGGATATTTTGAACTTAACGGGCCCAAATCTGACTGATTTCAATTTTAAAATTGCTCCCCCTCAACACTTGCTTCCCTTTTTGAAAATGAATAAAAAATTTTAGCAAACTCCCCCTCGATTTATACGCAATTTTTGAGAAGCTCCCCCTCGATTTATGAACACTTTTGAACAGCTCCCCCTCAACTTATGCATTGAAAAAAAATGATGCATGAAAATTAAAAGGAAAAACATGCGATGAAAAGAAGAAAAAAAATGATGCATGAGAGAGAGAAAAGAAAATGTGATGCAAAGATGACTAAAATGCAAAACATGAAAGCACACGCACACACACAGTTCAGATGTTACTCAGTCGTTTAGGTTCAGCATCCCTAGCTTAGAGATCAGGAAATTGAATCTCTTTTCATCCAGGGCCTTTGTGAATATATCAGCCAGTTGCAATTCCGTAGACACAAAGTACATGTCCACGGTGCCTTTCTCAACGTGATCCTTTATGAAATGATATCTGAGGTCAATATGCTTCGTCCTTGAATGATGGACAGGATTGCACGTGATGGCTATTGCACTTTGAGAGTCACTGTAGATCGGGATGTGTGAGAATGTGAACCCGTAGTCTTTCAGCTGGGTCCTCATCCATAATATCTGTGAGCAACAGCTAGCAGCCGCGACATATTCTGCCTCAGCTGTAGAAGTGGACACACAATTCTGCTTTTTGGAGGACCAGCATACCAACTTATCACCAAGAAATTGAGCACCGCCAGATGTACTTTTTCTGTCCAGTTTGCAACCCGCGAAATCAGCATCTGAGTATCCAACAAGGTCAAAACCTGATTCCTTGGGATACCAAAGGCCCAGATTGACTGTTCCTTTGAGATATCTCAGTATTCTTCTAACAGCATTCAGATGTGATTCCTTCGGATTTGCTTGAAAGCGGGCGCATAGGCAAGTTGCAAAGACAATGTCTGGTCTGCTAGATGTAAGGTACAGCAAGGAACCGATGATAGCCCTATAATTGGTAGCATCGACTGGTTTCCCGGAAGGGTCAGAGTCGAGCTTCTGTGAGGGAGACATGGGGGTTTTCATCGTCGACTTGCTGTCCATTTTGAAGCGCTTTAGCATATCGTGGATGTACTTGGACTGATTTATGAATATTCCGTCTGGCATTTGTTTGATCTGCAGCCCCAGAAAGAAGTTCAACTCTCCCATCATACTCATCTCGAATTTGGTGCGCATCAGATTGCTGAACTTTTTACAGAAGTTTGGATTCGACGAGGCAAAGATGATGTCGTCCACATAAATTTGTATCAGCATGATGTCACCCTTGTGTCTTTTGATGAAGAGAGTTGGATCTATCTTTCCCTTCGAGAAGCCTGATTCTACAAGAAAATCTGACAGTGCTTCGTACCAGGCTCTCGGTGCCTGTTTCAATCCATATAGGGCTTTCCTCAGCTTGTATACATGATTGGGGCGTTCAGGATCAACAAAGCCGTCAGGTTGTGCAACGTAGACTTCTTCTTTCAAATCTCCATTAAGAAATGCCGTCTTTACATCCATTTGATACACTGTGAAGCTCTTGTGTGCAGCATAAGCGAGGAATAGTCTTATCGCTTCAATTCTTGCCACTGGTGCAAAGGTTTCATCGTAGTCGATTCCTTCTTGTTGATTGTAACCTTTTGCAACCAGGCGGGCCTTGTTTCTCACGATCACACCGTCTTCGTCTTTCTTGTTTTTGAATACCCATTTGGTGCCGATAATGGTTTTCTTGTAAGGTCTTGGCACCAGGGTCCACACTTTCAATCTTTCAAACTGGTTCATTTCTTCCTGCATCGCAATCACCCAGTCCGGATCAGCCAATGCGTCAGTCATCTTTGTTGGTTCTTTGTGACTCAGAAAGCATGAGTATAAGCATTCATTGACTGATGCCGTTCTGGTTCTGACTCCTTGAGATGGATCTCCAATTATCAGCTCTGGCGGATGTGCCCTTGTCCACTTTCTCTCGTGCTGTAGAGGCTGTGGAGTTATGATTGGATGATCAGGGTCAGAATATTCCTGTTCTGGTTGTACTTCTGGGGTTTCTTGCGTTGCAGCTTCTTCAGGTTGATCATTGACAGGAGAGGTTGTTTCATGTTCAGCTTCATTATCTGTATGCTCATCATCATTCTGAGTAGGAGTGTTGGTTTCTTCAGTGGTTGGAGCAGGTAACAGGGGGTTCTGAGTAGGTGTATCATTTGTAGTTGGTGGTGCACGTGGTTGACTGTAGAAGTGTTCAAATAGAGAATCCAGAACCACGTGCTCATCAGATCTTGTCTCACCTCCCTGCCCTCCTACTCCAGAAGATGATGGAGTTTCATTGTTTGCAGAGGTTGATGGTTCAGAATGAAAATGTTCAGAAGCCAAGTCCGCCATTTCATAGAAGCTCACATTGATGCTCTCCATGACGGTTCTTCTGTCTTTCAAGTATACTCTGTATGCCTTGGAATTGGTAGAATACCCAATGAATATCCCTTCATTTGCTTTTGGATCAAGCTTCCCCCTAGCATCCCTGTCGTTCATAATGTAGCATTTACAGCCGAAGACGCGGAAGAAGGCAATGTTAGGGAGCCGCTTGAACACGATCTCATAAGGCGTCTTGTCAAATCTTTTGTGGATCACCGTCCTGTTCTGTGTGAAGCAAGCCGTGTTGATAGCTTCCGCCCACATGAAGTGAGGAAGCTTTGACTGTATCAGCATGGTTCTGCCTGCTTCCACCAAGGTTCTGTTCCGTCGTTCTACAACACCGTTCTGCTGTGGTGTCTTAGCTGCAGAGAACTGTTGAGTAATTCCCTGAGCTTCATAGAATTCAGTCAGTTCCTTGTTCTTGAACTCTGTCCCGTTGTCAGTTCTGATGATCTTCACGTTCTGCTGTAGATAGTTCTGTATGGTCCTGATGAACGTCATGATTAAGTTTGCAGTTTCGTCCTTGGAGCGCAAAAACTTGGTCCATGTGTAGCGTGAGTAGTCATCCACAATTACCAAAGTATATTTGCGTCCACTGATGCTATGCACGCGCATCGGACCACACAAATCCATATGTAATAGCTCCAGGGGACGAGATGAGGAGGGAAATTGTTTTGACTTGTGTGATGCTCTCCTCATCTTTCCCAAATGACATGCAGAACAATGATGGTTGGGGGAGTTCTTCAGTACAGGCAGTCCTTTCACCAACTTCTTCGAGGAGAGGGAACTGATGGCTGGCAGATTCAAGTGTGAGAGACGTCTGTGCCATAGGCTGCTTTGTTCTTCAGATGCTTTGAACAGGAGACAGATGGATATGGGGGATCGTACCGATTTGAGATCAATGGTGTAGAGATTGGTTTTCCTCTGACACCTTAATAATGGTGTTCCACCCATATCCATCACACAACATTGCCTAGCATGGAATCTCACTTCCATTCCATTGTCACAAAATTGGCCGATGCTAAGCAAGTTGTGCTTCAGTCCCTGCACATATGACACGTTTCTGATAGTGACGCTCTCACAAATGACATCTCCTATCCCGAGTATGGGCGATGAAGCATTGTTCCCAAACCTCACATTTCCTCCAAACCTTTCAGAATAGTT